TATATATATATATATATATATATAGTATATATATGTACGTGTGTATGCTCATCCACATGCGTAGGTGCCAGTATGTATGAGCGTTTGGCTTCGAAAAGCTTTTGTATCAATATTTTTTATTTATCATTATTATTATTATTATATATTTTTGGGGTGAATATATTTAGTAATGTGTTTAAAAAGTGTCAGCATAAATGCACAGTCACATACGCATACAGATACATTTAAGTGTTTGTGTTTTTTATGGGTAAAAATTAAACATGAAATCCGTTATATTTTCACATGGAAGTATAAAAGAATAAAGGAAATGTAGTTATTTGAAAATTACTTTGTCTTGTACTTAGCTGAAGATGGTTTCTCTTTTTATCTGAGAATATAGAGCGTCAGGTCTGCATATGTTTGGGTAGTAATTGTTGGATACCACTGCCTTGACCTTGGCATAATTGTGATCCATTTGCAGAGTACATCAGCCACCAGGTGGGGAGACCAAACTCACCAGTGATAATACCACACCTGAACACCATGCTGTTAGGCAAGTTATGCTACTAAGGGAATCAAGACTCTTAGCATACACACAACTATGTTGATGTATATCCTTTATGGTTTATCAATACAAATAATGTAATATTCTCTCACAGGGTCCTGAAGCCTCCAGGTGGTGGATCATCCATCAGTTTTGGAGAAGATAGCGATGATTACATGAAGCCCAAGGCGAAGCCTACACCTGCCGAGGAAGTTCCAAAGGAGGAACCGGAGCAAGCTCCTAAGCTTGAAACTAATGGTATGGAAAACCCTGAGAAAGATGGGGCTGCTGTCACCAAGGAAAGTAATCCTATCAATGCCACCAATGGTTCCACCACAAGTGGGTCTTCCACTCCCACATCTAGAGTAGATACTCAATCCCGTCTCTTTGGAGAAGAGCCGCCAAAGGAGGCACAGTGCCGCCGAGTTCGAGATCATCAACGCAGCAACATCTTTGGGGCAGAGGTGAACACGAATCCCAATGGAACACCCAACGGCTCTCCTAGGGCAGGTAGGGCTCCTGTCTTTTTGTCAGCATTGGGCAGAGAGAAGAAACAGTTTGAATAAGTAATGGTATATAGGAAACGATTTTACAAGATGCTGAAAGTGTTGGTTTTCAGCATACATTTCATTATAATTAGACTCAAAAAAATTGTCAGAAAAAAGGTTGGTGCATTTTGCCCAATAAAACAGCATATGAAAGACAAGATCTGTAAATTACAACATCTGTGTTTAGTTGTTGATGCTTCGGAGTATACTACTACACAGGCCTACCTAATTTACTTGCCCTATTAATTATCATTATTATTGATTAATCTTGTAGAATGAAAGATGATAAAATAGTGACATACATTTCCCCCTGAAATTAGAGGACATTGTGTATAAGCCACTTAAACCCGCCTGTGTGTATATATGTGGGTATGTATGTATGTATATGTGTATGTATATATGTATGGATATGTGTATGTA